CCCTCCAATGTCCAGTCACGTTGTGTGTGTCCCTCCAATGTCCAGTCACGTTGTGTGTGTCCCTCCAATGTCCAGTCACGTTGTGTGTGTCCCTCCAATGTCCAGTCCCACCGTGTCCCACCCGTCCCACCCACTGTTGTTGACCCAAGTTGACCACCCGGTAACAACACGTTTTCGGTTGCTGGTGAGGTGTGGCCGTCATAACCCATACGCCCTGCCCACAACTCACACACAATAAGTCGTAAGTACTCACACACAATAAGTCGTAAGTACTCACACACAATAAGTCGTAAGTGAGGTGACCCGTCACTCTATACCCAGTCTGTAACAAAAGGAGTAAAAGTGAACTTGCGATTGAAGCGTCTGTCGTTCTCCGAGTGGTGGCGACGCATTCATTTATTTTACCTTGTCTTCCTGGTCTGACACACTTCATTTTGTTTTACCCTTGCACACTGTCATCCTCGTTTCATACTCTCTGTAGAATTGAACATAATACAACAGCAGTTGCGAGACTTCTTCTCTCTATGTAAACAAAAATGTCTCACACATTTAGAGAATTCCAGCTGTTGATGACGTCATCAATGTAGACATGTTAATGCAACCTATGTCCCTATGAGGGCAAGCGAGGCAGGGGTAGGCCCAGAACGACATACTTAGGGAACCTAAACAAATGGGTAACAGGGAAAGATCAGAGAAACGTAGCTTTTTTGAGATCATCCGAGCAAAGGAATGAATTGAAAACCATGATCGCCGATGTCTGTCGCAGATCTGCCACTGGATGATGATGTCCTAAGCCTGTAACCACCTCCGGCTGGGACCTCACAAGGGAATGGGTTTTTTCCTTCATTTTTATCGGTCCTGCCTCAGACGGCCACCTGTCCTGGACGGCCACCTGTCCTGGACGGCCACTTTTCTCCTCGACAATTGGTGGCCGTCTTACACAGGTTGGACGGTACACGAGTATATACCGTACACACTAGAGTGGCGGAAACTATCGGTGACACACAGCTTGTCTTCGAAACTTATATGACCTAATTGCGTTGCAGGTGACGTAAAATGTTTATTCCAACTAAAACATCCAGGTGGCAGGTCATTGGTAACAGAAAACGGATATTTTCTTTCGCTACTTGAATTGTTTTGCTCAAGTCGCTCGTGGTTTGTTTGTTTGTTGTTGTGTTGTTTTTGTGTGTGTGTGTGTGTGTGTGTGTGTGGGGGGGGGGGGGTGATGCTGATCTTTACAAAACTTCTGTTCGTAAGAAAGGCAGTTGGGGGGGGGGGTCTATAGTTGATACTGACGGTCAGACGGTCAGGCTCAAAAGGTCTTTTAACGTTTAGTAAATTGTATGAAAGTCTATCATCTCTCTGTAGGAATAAAATCTTATAATGGTGTAGTGAGTTCTTTACTGTGTCTAGAGTCTGGCCTTTTTTGTCTCTTTCCAAGTAACAGATCTATTAGTATTTTTATAGATTGAATAGATCTACGTATTCATCGAAACAACATTTTTTCACAACTTCTGTAGTTGTTATGAAGAATAAGAGTGGATTTCCCTGGCTCCCAACACTGTATTCAGGAGTTTGGGATATCGTACCTCGAACTTTTTAGTGGAGTTTTTTCCAAGTATTTTTTTTTTTTCGTTTCTGAAAATCCTATTTTTGAAAGTTTGCCTACTTGAATTTTTCTTTAATTTACAAATGTTAAATGTCTTTGAATACGCGAACGAGTCTGACATGGAGTCTGTGTGCCAAAGTTAAACAAACTCTGTTAGTAAACGTCTGGGGATATACAATTTCTATTAATAGCTAAATGAAAGATGGCGGCCGATAACCTGGCGACGAGCTCGGAGGAACACTGACCGTCCATCGTCACGTTTCAGGTATCAAAGGACACTGGTACAACAGTTCCTTTCTTCTTCAGTAATAAACAATCTTTGCTCTTCGTTGCTGTGACATCAGCCCTCCCCCCCCCCCCCCCCCGGAAAAACCACACAGTGTCTGCGAAAGAATCTAGAGCACGTTTTTTTCTCGAGGTCTGACAGGTCTGACCGGTGGTTCCATCCTCTCTGTGTCTTGTTAGTTTCATATGGGGTTTTACGGCGCTCGCAACTGCATAAGGTAATATGAACTATCTGTGTCTGATGGAAGTTAGGATTTCTGAGACTGTCCTCATGTCCCACTGTGTGTAAAACTAGCCTGGATACAATATGTGGTAGGCAATATGATACAGCGCCTTCTCATGACCTCATGCAGTTGCAAGCGCCGTAAAACACTTACAAAAAAAGACAAAAAGGACAATACGATCCGTCAATTTTGAGTCCACGCGTATTTATTTCCACCGGGTGTAAAAGCAGCAGGATTTTTTTTAAAAATCTCGAAAATGTACTTCATTACTTCATGTATACGGTGGTAATGGCAGTGGCGGTGGGTAGTGAAGGGCTCATGGGTTTGATTCCTCCCCCCCCCCTCCCAACTCTATCCCCAAGCAAATGAAAATCACGAAATAAGCAGTAAAATCTTGAGATCGTTATGATCGCACTCAATGAACACAGAGTGATCAACTTGGCGGCTTGCTCGTTTATCCGATTCCTGTTGTCCCCGCTTACAACTATAGTAACCTAACAGCCAGTCAAAAGTCTTTAGGGCTCAGCAAAGGACGAGCCCGTTCCCACAGTCTCTCTTTAATGAAACCCTCCTGTAAAAAGGTAGAAGACTTGAAAAAAATAACACTGCACTGAGGGCACACGCTCTCCAGGCTCTGGACAATAGGGTGAAAGTTTACGACACACTTTCCCCCAGTGACACAGTTACCTATGCAACCATTGGTCATTTGTTAGGTGCGTTCTACTCTCCGCGACAACACGGCCTAATCCAGCTCATAGACTCTATACATTTGGAGCGCCGTTTGTGCATGTGTGTGCCACTGAGATTTAACAGTTATTAATTACATCAAACTGCCCTTGAGGCAACTTTTTCATTAGATGAAAATTAATTAGAGAAATTTGAATGGTTCTCAAAATGCCGTGGCCCGCCCTGAGTATAGAAAAATCAACACTGTTTTGTTTTTATTGTTATTTGGTGGTAAAAAAGTGAAAGGAACCTAAGCCCTAGCCAATTTTGGTCAGCCACCACCACCGTGAGTCTGGTGAGAATTTCTCTAATGACTATAGGTCAAAGTAAGTGAATGAAGTGACCAAACCTAGACGAACGACATGACAGCCCGCAAAAAGGTAATTGGACAACTTTTACACCCGCATCGACATTATTTAGAAATCATGAGTAGGAGGCAGCTTGCTTTGATCCTGCCTGTCAGTCAGGTCCAGAACTGAGAGGGATACCACGCCCACGTCCAAGCAGAAAGACTAAGACATTCGAGTAACGAATCTCCCCACATGGGAATCGAATTCACGACTCCTGCGTTTGATGGCGAATCATTTACCCGCTACACCACAGAAACTAGTATGATAGCCTATGACTTGTAAACTTCTAACATAATAAATACATTAGACTTAATTGATCCCCGTGGGGACATCTCGGGAGGACTTCTGTACCGACGACCACTAAGCAGAATAGAGGGCTTGGGATAGGGGTAGGGGCAGGCGTAGAGGTAGGACTAGGGTTAGGGTAAGGGTCAGGGTTTGGGTTAGGGTTATGGTTAGGGTTCGGGTTAGGGTTGGGGGGGTAGTTAGGGTTTGGGTTAGGATTAAGGATAGGTTTAGAGGATTTGGGGTTTGGATTAGGGTTAGGGTTAGGGTTGGGTTAAGGTTAGGTCTCTTCTTCATTGTGTTTGTTGGGGTGGTCGCTCGTTACGGAAATCCTTCCGAAATCCGGGGTACAACAGCAAACACATACCGGTATTAGGAATACCAAAGACACAATTCAGCAATATATCACCAGTGCATAACAATTTTACAAGCTGTAGACCTTGTAGACGTCATGGTTAATGTGACCAACAAACTGTTCTTCTCAGTCAATCTCAATGATATTATATTTCAGGTCTCTGATATCTTTAAATTCAGAAGTGCTGTACATGTTCAGCAGCGCCTGGGGTCGAGGTGAGGCGTCCTATCAATAATGGTTCCACTGCCGCTCGCCACAGCATAACAGAAACAACCAACAAAAAACGTGTGATTGATTCTCCTCATTCTTCTACTTAACAACGACATTGCGGGTGGTTGGAGGGTGCCACTGATATGTCCAACATTTTTTCTGTCAGTCTTTCGTTTCTGTCTCTCTGTCTTAGTTTTCCCCTGCACTAAATGAGGTGCTTCTCATTCCTCTAACAACGAAACTTTTTCGCAACAGGACCAGGTGGTTCCAAAACTAGACCCAGATTTCCCCGTTCACACGAGATCTCAGTCGTTTCCTCCTCTCCTCTCCTTGGCGCTCTTACCTTCCCAGTTCTGCCCTCTGTGGGAGAACCGTGAGACTTTATGCCCGTTTTTTTACACTGGGGTGCGTCCTTTTGCCCCCAGCTTGCAAGTGAGGGTGGAAAATACGA